CACACACACACACACACACACACACACACACAGATTTCTGATTCAGTGATTGTGGGCAGAGGCCAGATAATCTGCCCTTTGTAGGCTCCTGAGAGGTTGTAATACCAAAGATCAGAAGAGGGCCCAGGATCTACTGAACCACACTGTGTTGGCACACTCAAGAAGCCAGCTGAGAGCCAAGAAAGCTGCCTTTTAGATTTCAAACAAATGCCAAATACATTTCATTATTCATAATTACATTTCAATTTTAAGTCTATTATGATTGAAAATAAAGGATATGCCTTTGACATTTTATGGGAGAAATTAGAGATTTTGACATACATGACATTCATGACATCAGTGAATCTGAGACCAACAGACTTGCCTCCTGGTTGCATATGGGTGTCCTTGGGGTGGGATTGATGCTCTCTACCCCATTGTAGATCCCTACTCTGAGGTGGACATTGGGGATGGGGTGACAGGTGTTTTTGCCACATTATTTACTTCTAAAGACAGCTGAATGTTGAATGGTCCTTTGTTGACTGTCTATACATCACGGACCTTCCCTATCCCACAGGAGGCTCCTTAAGGACAGGCTGTGTCTGATTCCCTGGGTTTGTCCTCTCCTCTCAGGGACCCCACTCCTCAAATTTTCTCAGAGGTGGCAATGGGCTGTTTCAGTACAGGGGTCCTCAGCAACCATAGTTTCACCAGTCAAGGACAAGCGGGGATCCCAACGTGTGCTGGGTGAAGGATCACTCTATTTAGACCCAAGGGGCATTTTCTCTATTTTTCTGAGGAAGCTGCAGAGGCCATGGAAACCTGTCTACATCAGCTGGAATTAAATCAACTCAGCATCATCACTCTAGAAAGCACATACTCATCAGAAGCTTGGATTGGTCACTACTGACATCACAGTACCCTCTGGGCTGTGATTGGTGGACCATACCCTGTTCAGGGGCCACCTAGTGGTAAGTCATCATTGTAGCTGAATTAAGACAAAGTTCCCTGTATTCTTGGGATTTAGGGTTTCACATTTTCCAGTTTTGAGTCTTTGGGAGTGACCTCAAAGCTCCCCATTCACAGGGCAGTTTGTAATTTTGCAGAGGCACAGAGTTTCCAGTATGGGAAAGTATCCATCGCCTGCACCCCATACCCGTTCTGTGATGCTCACTCACTTGACTATCTTATGGGGAATGGCAGGCCATGTGGACTTGGCAGTTTGGCCAGGGTGGCTCTGGCCATCGCAAAGCCCGGGATTGTACAATGTATGTTGCCAGAGTTGTACAAAGTATCCCATAACTTGAAAATCCCAGTGGTAGCCTGGTCCTTGACCCTGGTTGCTTTAAGACTTAAATAACCTGACCCCGACCCTGCTAAGAGCCAAGTGACTGCTTTGTTGCGCACCGTGATTATCCGTGAGGGTGAAGTTGCTGTCCTCAGTGCTCAGGGCAAATTTGAACTTCACGTTTTGTGGCGTTATGTCCTTGTCTGTTGCAGAGATCCGCAGGACCAGCGGGAGTGTGGAACACAGAGGATGGTCAGTGGCGGTGCTGGGTGGCCTGGGGCTCAGTGATGGAGACTTTAGGTTTAGATGTGACCATGGCTGCCTCTCACCTGCAACACTAACCTAAATGGCTTTCATAAAGACACTCTTTCTACCAACCCCTGCATCCCCCTAATCTACTCTCCAAACAGTTTCTCTTGAGCATCAGTTTACCCATCTGTAAAATAAGGATAATGTTACTTTCTCCAGGGCTGTTGTACAGGTTACATTAAACTCAGTAGAACTCCAGCTGACTGGATGGG